AAATATAAAATAAATATAAAATATTTAAAAAATATATTTTTTTTACTCATTTTATGCACTTCTGCCCAGACTGTGATAACATGTTAGTCATGGAAAAAATAGATTTAACTTATTCATATTGTTGTAACACATGTTCATACAAAAAAGAATTAGTTATAGCACTTAAACACACAGTAGAATATCAACCAAGAGAGGAAGACAAAATTTGGTACGAAGAGGATGAAAACAAAAATTTAGACTATTGTGAAAAATTATGTGAATGTGGAGAGACTAGAGTATCTTTCTTTCAGATGCAAACAAGAAGTGCTGATGAACCAATGACTATATTTTATAAGTGTGTGAAGTGTAAGAATACTTGGAGAGAATAAACATTATTTTATTTTTTTATNTTTTATTGGCTTACTAGCTCAGTGGTAGAGCATTGCTCTCGTAAAGCAGGGGTCAAGGGTTCGATTCTCTTGTAAGCCTCATTTTTTGTAAATTTTTTATAGCCCAATGAAGAATGTTATTCAATTACCACTAGAGATAGAAATAAGTGATTTACCAGATAATATTAAGTTAAATAAGAAATTTAGAGTTAAAGATGAGTTTTATATTTGTGAAATAGGAGATTCATCAAGTTCATATGTCTGTGAAAAGAAAAATGGAAATGAAACAAGCGTACCGGAGCAGATTGATGCTTATTATATTATTAGAAAATATNNNAATGANNNANNNNTTATTTTATTTTAAAAAATAATATTTTTATTTATTAATAAATTAGTTTAGAAAATTTTAAAAATATTTTAATTTTCAATTTTTAAATAAAATTTAATACAAAGTTATTTATTAATTAGTAGAAAATATATTTAAAATTAATAAAAAATTTATTTTATAATTAATAAAAAGATTATTCAGTGTTTCTCTTAAAATAATTAAATTAATTTAAAAAATGAGCAATTAAATATAAAAAAGCAATTTTTTTTATAACTTTGTAAAAAATAATTTAGATGTTAAATATCTTACTCTCCCTAAAAACACAAAATATAAAGTTATTATCATATTTAGAAGAGGTTTCAATGATTAAATTTTATAGGTAAATTGTATTTGATGTTTACAAACATATCAATATGAATTCGAGTCTAAAACATATCAAAAATATGGCATTCTACCTTATTCTTCTAAATCATTATTTTTAAAAAGTGTTTTATTATCCATTATGACCTTATAAAAAAACAATTATTGATATTCAAACATTTAAAGACTTCGACAGAATGATCAGGAACAAAAATCTACTAGTATAAATTGGAAAAACATTAAAAATTGATCTTTCGACTGTATATATTTAAAAAAATAAGTTATCTTAAATAAATTAAAATGAAGAGAAGACCAGATCTTTTATACAAAAATAAAGATTAAAAGAAAAAACAGACTATGATTCAACAATCCCCGTCTCTAACATGATATCAACTGATTCTTTTCTTACACAGAGAGGTATACTTTTTAAAACGAAAGAATCAAACATCAATGTTTCACAGCCAACATTATCTAAGCTATTAAAACAAATGAAGATAAATCAAAAGAGGTTAATATTGATTTCTGATTAAAATGATTTTAATCCATTCAAAAAAGACATGAATTTGCTATGAGATACAGAAAATTTGAAAATAGAAATTTACTCTATTTAGATAAAACTAAATTCAATCTTTGTAGCAAAAAAAGTTATGGCACCATCCCAATTAATTACAAATAGCATAAAGTTAAAGGAAATTGTAGTGTAGCAGAGTTATATTGTTTTATTTTATATTTTTAATATTTAAATAATTTAAAACATTTACCCATGTATATGCAGGGTAAGAAACAATTTTTAAATAAGAATCATATTGACAATTTTTGTTTTAAATCTGCATGTAAGAACACAAGATGCCTGATCGACATCTTCTGTAGTAACAAATCGTCCTTACATGAATTTCACGGAAATAAGAGAAAAAATGACACCTTTTTGCTATGATATATTGAGAGAGCGGAGTGGTTTTTAAAATTATGAGTGGGACATGCATGTGGTATTCATACCTTAAGAACTAAGAAATTTGATTCCTACTAACTATTATATTCCCTCATTTGCACCCCTTCCCCTTAGCTACAGTTACATCAGAAGACAGCCTCAAGAAACCAGAGCTTTCTCTTTGCATCGGAAGATCAAACATATTTTCTGAGTTAAATCAACCAATCAGGTTCAGTTCCAGAAAAAAACTATTTAAAGAATTTTAAATAAATTATAATGGTACAATTTTATAAACATAATAAGAAGAATAACTTTAATAAATATAAGTTTCATAAATCGCTCCTCCAACAGTACTTCAGAGAAGGGATAAAAATCTTGAACCTTGACAATGCAATTTTTATATTTTAGCAGATTTTTTAATGAATGGAAAGGTAACTTTCTAACTCATCCAAATAATGAATTTTTATGGACAATATGGGGGTCAATAATACTGAATCAGTAAAAAATGTATCAAGGCATAATTTTATTGGCTTGATACTTTACGTTTATTTACCTGAACTTAATCCTATGAAGAAGTATTCAATAAGCTTAAATCTTGCTATCAAGGCCTGCCTTCTCCTTCTGATTTTAGAATTATTAAAAACAATATTACTAGGATATTAAGATTTTAGGATGAGTCCAAAGATAACTTTTAAAATTTTTAAGAAAATATGAGAGTTCATTTAAGTAAGGCATTTATGCGTGAGAATTTAAAAAAAAAATAAATGAATGCAATATTTTTGTTTACATTGATAGTTTTTTTAAAAAAAATTTTATTTAGTTTGTTTTTTTATTTAAAATATATAGTAAAAGAAAAAAACTGCTCACCATATCTTTGTTAAAATACAGCATGTTTATAACTTAAGAACAAAAAAATTTTTTAATGATTAAGCAATAAGTTGTTTTAAATTTTTTTTCTAGGATCAATGTAAAAAAATTTTTAAACATATTTGTTGATATTATATGGAAAAAACCCTTGTACACCTCAGTGAGATTTTTATGCAGCACTTAAAAAACAATTCAATACATTTTAAAGTAGGGTTAAATTATAAAGTAAAAAATAATTTTTTTTTAAAATTGAAAATCTTCTTCTTATAAGAATCTTTAAAATATAAAAAACACAGAAATATATAAAAAAAAATAATCGAAAATTTAGAAGAATATTCATTGTCCAAATTTTGTTTTTAAACTCAATTTTCAATTAACCTTAGTGTTTTTGTTTGATATTTTTTATGAAGAATCATAATTAATGTTCTGTATGTTTTTAATTAACCAAATATTTTTTAAAAATTACGACATTTAAGTGTGCAAGAAAAAATTAACATTGAGAAAAATTTACAAAAAACAACATTAAATATAATAAATTTTTAGTTTTATACATAAATTTTTAAAAATATAGTTTTAATCTATATTTAATGTTTTCTTTTGCAAAATAATAATACTAAATTGAATAAATTACGAATATAAAAAATGGGGAGCGTATAAAGCAAATTGTCAAAAATCACATTTAGAAGGAATTCATTAAGAAAGAAAACAACCCCATTAGAAATGCCATACACAACAATTAAATATATCGTAGATGAATTTAATACTTTAGGGTAATTAGAGAGAAAACCAGGTTTAGATAGATAGACTGTATGCTCTATTTCTGTGAATGAAACTATAAAAAAATAATATCAAAGAAATTAAAAGAAAATTTAGGAGATATTCATAAAGCACTAGTTCTTAAGTGTATTTCTGATATCTCTCTTTGTACTCTACGGAATTTATAAAAAAAGCTGAGATATAAAGACTGTTTAGATGCAAAAAACCGTTGCTAAGTTCAAAAAACGACCAAAAAATCGATTTCGCTAACGCTTCTATTATAAAACATTGAAGATTTGAGATTCGGTTTTTTTTGAAGAAACAAAATTTAATCTTTTGAGAAATGATGGAAAGATACTTTTTGCTTGCCACACGGGCTTAAAATAAAATAATAATTAAATAAAATTTAATAATAAAAAAACTAAAAAATAAATTTGTTAAATTAAATTATATTAATTAATATAATTTATCTTAATGAAGGGTAAACTTTTTGCAGTGATGAACGGTAAATATGCTATTCTTCACACGTTAGATATAGAGAGTACTATATTTTTTTTGCAGAGAGCTTGGTCTGTTGGCTTGAAGTAAAAACTGCTTAGTTTCTGAAAGCCAGATGCCTGAAAGCAAAGACGAAATGATTCTTTTTCGTTATTTCTCCCGGGGTTGGAATTTTTAACAAATAAATAAAAATTTTATATATTTGAATATAATAAAAAAATATTACAAATATATTTGGTTGGATGTGCTAGC